TTCGTTTTTATAACATTTTTCTAAAAGAAAGAACAAATAATATTTTAATTATATTATTATATTATAACTATGATTAAAATACACATACATATTTTAAAATATTTAAGATATATATTATAATATATATAGAAAACAAGATCTGCTTACAAGATGCACAAGAGGAGCTGCAATTAAAAGAAGGAGAAGTACTGTAACCACAATACCGAATCTAAATTCAACATTTGCTGGATGTTCCATTTGTGCATAGACAAGAAAAATTGCAACAAAGACTGCTATTTTATATATTAATTTAAGCACCTCCTTCTAAAAAGAAAAAAACATTATATAATAAAAATTGTCGATCAATTACAAATCAAATATGTTTCAGTGTCAGATAAAGTACCGTATTTGGTGCATAATAATAGTAAATTATCATATAAATCATATTTGTCAATAAACCAAATATATTAACATTTATCATGTTAGAATCACCTAACATCCAAGCATATCGAAGCATCAATATACACCTAAAAAATTTGTTTATTTAGTTACATATTTCAATTAACTTTTAATTTTCTTAATGTTATTATTTTATTAGTATATGAATATATATATATATATATATATATATATACATATATATATATACATACATATATACACACGTATATGTGACAATTATACAGAATAGTGTTTTCCAAATTTCGACATTTTTTGGCTGCAATATGTTGATAAACTTTGTTATGACTTATAGATAGTGATAAAAATCAGGGGAGGTCGAAAAACATATAATTCACTTATTTTTTAAATTATTTATTTCCAATATAATTTCCATAGTGATTTATTACGTGCGTTCGAACTTCCACGCGAAGCGAGATCTACATCACTTTCCCTCTTACCTAAGGACGCATAATTTTCTACGTGAAGCGATTCCTATCCCACCTCCCCCCCCCTCCATCCGCTTAGAGGTACACAAGAAGTGTTTTCCACGAGAAGCGACTTTCGCCTCATCTCCCTCCCTGCTTAGAAGCGCATGACCTTTTACGCGAAAAAATGTGAAAAAAATCGGTTTTTAAATATTTGACCTTGTCAGCAATTTTCATTATCATATCCGTAAATACAGTAATATGTCAATCGACAAGAAAATCGAAGAGTTCACCTTTTCAGAAGTCTATCCAAAACGACTTCCAATTTTGTCTACTGCCGATTTTATTGTCACCAATGATTACGAGCAATTTGATGGTAATACTCAGACAATTCCTCTTACCATATACTCAGACAGTTTCCTCTTATAAATAGATTATGACAATTTTGATGGCAACTGAAGGGAAACTTGTGCTAACCAACTATTTTCTTTCTTATAATAAGGAGCTTGATTATTTGGACAAATTTTGGCCCTACAAGTTACATTTATAGTTAATTAAATATAATTTTGGGCAGAGGAATGAATGAGTTAATATCGAAATGACTCATATACAGGATGATCTATTTTAATCCATCCAGTAGAATATCTCAAAATCTTTAAGTTTAAGACAAAAATATTTCAAAAGTTGCTCAAAGAGCAAAGGAGATGATAACAGTGATTGACCTTAAGAAGATGTCCTTAAAATCATGTCAATATTATTTACAATTTTTTTTAATGGAATTATACTTTCTTTATCTACGATATGATTTCTCTAATTATTTTGTATATGAAAATATTATAAAATAGAGATACAAGGAAACCAATAATAATTTACGAGGTATTTTATACTTTATTCTGGCACATATTGACATGATAATAAATTAAATCTCAACAAATTAAATATAATAATTACATTAAAGTACAGAAAGATAAACTTCCACATATGCATACTGATGTAGTTTATAAAATTGAATGTAAGGACCGTGACGTATTATACTTGGGAAAAATCCTCAAAACTAGAATTAGTGAGCATAGAAATCAATCGAAATACAGATCAAAAATCAGTTATCACAGAATGTCTAGAACAATCACACGAATTTGACTGGGACAAGATATTAGTTAAAAAAAAAAAAAAAAATATTAGACAAAAGACTCATCAAAAATGATTTTCATCCACAAACAGAAAAATAGTTTAAATATACAATCAGATACGGATTCATTAAATGAAGCATGACTTTTTATTTGAAAGTAACTGAGTTTTTCTCTCTTCAATATCTCTGTTATTTGTGGTTTGTTCCGTGATTTGTTTAGCTTAGTTTATTGTTTAGATGTATCGTAGCGTCCGTACAGATAACATGTATATTTTTATAAGTTCAATGAATATCATGTGTAAGTTTTTCAAATTAATAATTGTTCACAATTTTAATGTATTATATTATTATTCTTATCAACACATTATTTTATAATGTTACCAAGAGATATCGATTATCATTGTACAGTGCGTCAGGAAATTCAATGAGTTCGTTCAAGTTGCATTGAAAAGGATCCGAAGCGTTTGTATAAGACATTGGAACAAATAAATTTTATTACACATTGACATCCTGTGGTTGGCTCCAAAAGGCATTAACTTATGGACTGAAATAATAAATATCTCGTAAACTATTAATTTTTTTATAAATAGTAATAAGACTTTGTAAGTATAAAATGTAGTACAAAAGAAAGGCAAAGAGCTAGTAGCAAAGAACTTTAATTTAAATTAAAATTAAATCATAAAATTCAACAATTACAATTGACAAAAACAAACGTTTTTTTCTGGTATCCAAAAAATTTATTTTTCCAATGCCAATTTCCATAATGAAGCAGTCACTTTCAGAATCAAAATGTAATTTACAGAATATCTTGTGAGGATTGTGATGTTAGTTACGTTGGCCAGACAAAAAGATAGTTAAAGACTAGACTGCATGTTTCAGATATTAATATAAGTTCAAAATCTCCATCAATGATCTCTAATCACCGTATTGAGGAAAATCACAACTTTAAATGAGATAAAGTGGACATATTAGATATAGAGTCTTCATACAATAAAAGGTTAATATCTGAAATGGTCCATATTAAAAAACAGAAACATGGAATAAATAGACAAAACAACACGGAGTCTTTGCCTGAATTGTATTCTAACATTATACATTCTCTTTCTCTCTCCTAATATCTTCTTTCCTTTTCCTATTTTGCCGTTTTTCCATTCTCGATAAATGTTTTTCTTCTCGACATTGCGTTATCTGACATCGTAGAAGTTAGATGTTCGTTACTTTTGCAAATTTGCTTAAAATAAAAATTAATATTGTACCATGATATATGGTCTACCATCCCTATAATATGGACTACCTATTTACCTACGTCTCTCTTTTTATTAATGGACTCTCGACACATTTACTGATATTACTGACAAGGTACATTATTATTATAGTTACCAATAAAGTTACTAGAAAAAATAACTTGTAATTGTAACACATACAAGTAACGAGTTACTTCCGTAGATATTTAATATTTCATGTCAATATGTGCAAAAATAAAGTATAAAATATCTCGTAAATTATTAGTTTTTTGATGTCTCTACTTTAATACTTAATGACAGATTTTCTAACCCGAGTAGTCGTCGAACTTTATGGATTAATATCTCGGTTCGCCGAACAGAGCGACACTTTTTTCTTGTCAAATCTTTATTTTTACGTGAAAACGCATCAATTCAGTATATTTCTATCAAAATTTCTATCAAATTTGAGATGAGCAACCTCTTCTTAATTAACATTTATCTTTGTTATTAATCGTACTATAACGATCAAGTGAAATCAAAATGGCAGATGAGAATACCTACATATGTAGAGCTTTAATCAAACTGTACTTATATATTTTACACACGCGCGCGCGCGCACACCCACAACTACACCCATACCCCACACTCACACCCACACCCCCAACCCACACCCACATTGCATCCGTACGCACGCACGCATACATCGTATATATTACACATATAGAAGTGTAAATTCGATCGTGCAACTTCTATACAATATGAGATAGGTCTCTCCTACGAAAAAAATTAAGTAAACATTGTCCAAACTTCAAACACAAAGACCGAAATTAAGATCATAATGAGCTTAATATTTCTCGCTAGGAAGATATATCAAGATGAATGATAATGTCTCAATAATATTCTCAATAGTTTAAATGTCTCAATAGTTTAATTTTTAGCGCTTCATTTAGATAAAATTTACACATGAAAAGTTCTTTATTTTGAAAAAATTATAAATGCATCTCGAAGAGAGAATTTGACTGTTCTGTTTGCTTTCTACAGAATATTGAGCGCTATTCGTTTTTTACAACAAAGTAAAACAATCAAAGTAAAAAAATGCTTTTGTTTCATTCTTGAATAACTTGAAAGAAAATCGTACAACGCTCACAATGCAAATTGAAGATAAAGAAAACGTTTACATGACTCGATGACGTCGAAGTTAAAACATGTTATATCTACTAACGTTAGATGTCATGTAAATACTATCTTACGATGAAATTATTATATCAATGTAATAATTTCGTCGTAAATCGGGCCGTATAAACATAATAAAAGATTCACTCTTTCGAAAACTGTAAACTGCTTTCGTATACTATTTCTTCAATTCACATCATAGAATCTTATAAAATTCGTAAAAAATTTTTAGATTTAATGGACCTCTAAATGTATTCATGTATATTGTAGCTCTGAAAAAAATTAATCAGATTATCATCTAACTTACCAATCTGAAGAATAGAAATTCCAACCTTGAAAATGCTTTAAAATGCTTTTTTAATTATCTCATTATGATCATTTTTTATGAAGTTACATTCTCGAAACTGACACACTTGGAAGATAAAATAGGTAATTCTTTAATTTTTTTTGCGTAATAATTTATATATACTTACAATCCTATGGCACCAAGAAAAGGCATTGGATCAACTCCTTTAGCAGAACCTTTCTTATGTATGTTGCGACATATAAATCTGTAAATTACAAAAATATAAATTATACATAAACAAAATATTATTATTTAATGATTACCCTCTTAAATTCATTTTTGAAACAATAAACAGAATCAAATGCATTCTAAGGAGGACAGTATCGCATAATGACTTAGAGGAGAAGGACGAATCATCAGTGTCCCCAGTTTCACAGTTCCTTTTATTCCATCATTGACAGATAAATTTAAAAAAATTTAATAAAGATGACATCAAGATTTCTTTCCATGGTACGAATAAATTAAGAAAATACATTAAAGTACATAAAGATCCTCGACATCATTTAAAAAAAAAAAATATTTTCTATAAGATCGATTGTGTGGAGTGTGATGCAACATATGTAGGACAGATTGATAGAAAATTGAAGACAAGAATAAACACAAAAATCACATTCGGTTAAACACGTCCACTCGATCAGTGATAATTGAGCATAGGTTGCAGCACGAACATAACTTTGATATTAAAATTTTAGATGAAATACCTTGTTATAATAAGCGTTTAATCTCCGAAATGTTGAACATCAAAAAACAAAAAAAAAACAGTCTAAACCTACAGATACCGAGGGTCTACATAAAGCTTACATATCGTTAATAAATAAAATCTGACATTGCAATACCAAGATTATTTTATTCTTCGTCAGTCAGCGTTCGTCTATCGTGATAATAACATATAGGGTGCGTCACCAAAATTCGGATAAATTTAAATTTAAATTTTTCGCTATATTGTGTCTCCGCCAGAGGTTATTGTTTATTGTTATTTCCGAGAAAGCCTGATGCTTCTAGTAAATAGTCATATTCTCAAAATGGCCGCGATGTTGAAACCAAGTGCGGAGTATAATCTAAGAGCTGCCTTCATCGAAAGCCTTCGCTGGGCGCTCAGCAACGGAAATAATTCGGTTTTTTGGATACCGAAATCAACCGTTTATGACATTGTGGTAAAATATACGGCTTTAGAACAGTCCAATGAAGGTTTCAGTAAGGAAGAGTTACTCGAAAGAATGCACCGCGTTTGAGGATCCCCGCAGTCGTTGAAAGGGCTCAAGCGCTGATTTCGGATGATTCAGGGCAATCGTTGCAAAAATTAGCATCGATTGTTGGTGTAAGCGAGCCAACAATGCGTCGAAATGCCGAGAAAGATCTTCGATACAAATCGTACACATTAAAGATACAATAGATGCTCTCTGAAACTGCCAGGACAAGCCGAGTTGCTCGCCTCGGCTCCCATTCTAGCCTCTCAACAGGCCAGATTTAAATCCCTTGGACTACTATGTATGGAGCGTAGTTAAAAGGGTCACAAACAAGTCTCGGCATCCCAATGTGATGTCATTAAGGACCGCTATTGAGGCAGCATTCGTTGGCATGGACAGCGTTACATTACAGCATGCGAGCGAACGCTTCAGATCAAGAATAGAGGCCGTCATTCAAGCTAATAGGGGATATATCGAATAATTGTGCTCTATAGAGATTCCCCAAGTATCATGTACAAAGATTTTTTGTAATATTTAATTTTTTATTAAAAACATTTTGTTTAAAGAAATTGTTCGATTTGTCCGAATTTTGGTGACGATCCTGTATATGTTTATCAAGTGTCTCATTTTAATCTTTTTATACAATATTTATTTATCTATTGTATATACATCTTTAATTTTATATTGTGACTAATTATTTTACTATAGACTAACACACTGACGCTTAGTAATTTAGAAATTAACGAGCATTTTCTCGACATGCGAAATTTTACTTTGTGAGTTTGACCAGAGTGACGATTTTACTCGAATTTTTTATTATTCTCTTAATTTATTTCCAACTTGTTACCAGACCGGAAAATTTTAAACAACCGATCGTCCAACCGTTTGCGAGTGATTTCCGTTTCTCAGCAAAGCATTTCACTATGTTATCATCACTATGTGTATAACTTTGTCTATCTATTCGATTGCTCTCATCCAATGTAACATCTCCTGTATCTGAAGAAGGCTCAATCGTGAGACCGAAACACGTTACATTTTTAATTAATTATAGAATATTATATTATACATACTTTCTTTTGATTTGTCATGTTTTAAAATACTTCTTTATATTTGACTTTATATGCCCTTTATTCTCTCGTTATTGTATAGAAATACAATACATATATTAGAATATATGCGAAAATCATGTATAATCATGTATAAAAATTAATTTAACATGTCTGCAGATAATCTGAGCTTCTATATAGACCTGATTATATTAGAGCACTACTACATTTTACGTGTGGAACTGACACCATATAACGGCACTCCTAGAAAGATCAATTCAACACTTCCGTTACAATATTAATGATTTTAATACAATAATTAAAAATGATTATTAATGGACTCTTCGAGATTCAACGTATATCATGTAAATGTATAAAAAGTTTAGAAACCCGCGCGGGAGACAGAGTAAAGTTTCTTGTAATACAATAAACTTTAATTTAATTCGTCGTTAATCACAATACATATGTTTCGACTCATCTTCGAGCCATCTTCAACATAAAATTCACATATCAAATTCAAGCTTAAACTAAATCATCGTTGCCGCTGCAATTAATATAAAGAAGACAGTCTAAAAATGATCAAAATTGGCTCTGAACAAATATCTTTAAAATCTGCGCAGTTATCATTTTAAAAGTACATTCATGGAAAAAAGCTTATTTACCCAGGAAAATTTGAGAAGTTTTCCAAAAATGATAAAATAAATCGTTTAAACGTATAAATCTACAAAGGAACTCATTTTGTGTCTAATGAACGATAACAGATTTCGAAATTAATGGTATCTTTATATTTAACACATGTTGGCTTATGGAATATTATAAAAATACTACAAAAATACTACATAATCAGGAAGATCTACAAATATATATACAGGGTGTATCAAAAGTCTGACAATGATCAAATATCTTGAAAACAAAGCATTTTTAAGAAAAATGTTTTAGAGTAGGATTTAAAGTGTAGGATTTAAAAAGTAAAATTTATACTTATTCTGATTACATTCGTTTGACCTCGGGTGGCGTCATCAAGGTCAGGTCAAGGTCAAATCAATTATTTTTAATGAAATATTTTTAGTTATAGAATCTAATTGATGGTGTTGCGAGAATTACTGTACCATCCATGTTAGCATTACCCCCCCAGTAAACGAGAATGGATTAAAATGGATTGAAATTTTTTTTTATCCGAATGGGTATTTTAAATAGCAAACTTTTTTTTGGATTCAATTAGATTCAATTGGATGCAATTGGATTGGAAAAATTGCATTTTCTATTCAAAATTTTGAATTGAACAGTATTCATAATGCATAGAAAAAGCTAATATTATTTTTAGATTGAAAGGCATAAAGATATGCTCCATGCAATTCCTATAAAATTCAGGGTTGAAAAGCATTCATTTTAACATTCGTGAATCAATATTTCTGAAAATCTGAATCCATTTCAATTCATTTCAATCCATTCTCGTTTGCTGGGCCAAGGTAGCCAACCAACGGTTAAAACTTCTTAATGTTATTTATGCCCTAGATTTGTCAAGATCAAGGCCATTAGAAGTTATTCTTCATTTTTACATTAAAAATTCATTTTTATGTTTCATAACTCGAAAAGTACTTAATGAAAAATGTTTTATTGAACTTTATTGTAGTGTTTTGAAAAGCTTTCCAGTTAATAGATTCTGGAACCAAAAATAAGATGTTCCATAAAAGAAATCAATTTGACCTTAATCTGACTTTGGCGACGCCATTCAAGATTAAACAGATGTGATCAATAAATAAATCTTTTTAAACCTTACAACTTCTGAAACATTTTTCTTAAAAATGCTTTGTTTCCGAGATATTTGACTGTTGTGGATTTTTTGATACACTCTCCCAGCAAATACCAAATATAAATACAATATAACGTGGAAGTAACAAATAATTATATAACTATATATTTATATATATATATATATATATACATATATATATGTATAAAATACAATCGGGTTAAGAAACCATTACATTGTTTCGTTATTTATATGTTATAATAAACGAACAGCAATATAACGGCATTTATTGCATATAACAATATTATATAACAATTGTTTCGTTGATATTATAATATATTAATACTATATCATTTAAATTATGTTCTAACGTCGCGGTCTCTATCCGCGATGTCGCGAAGCTCTGTGCCAGTCGAGCTGTCGAGCGCTACAAAACGCAACACGCGTGACAATTTGTATTTGAATCATGAAAATTTACGGACAAATGAGTATTACTTGTGCTATTGAAGAATATAGAATATATACTAGTGAATTCAGTCGCTTGCATTACAAATCATATTGAATATTAAAAGCTGTTCCATGGAATTAGTGAAGTTAAATTTAAAAGAGATAATTGTTGAGTTTAGCCTTCACCTCCGATGTTGATTAAGTTCATTCGACGCGTTTTTACACGAAATGAATTTGGTAAATAAAGTATCGCTTTGCCCCGTAATGAGATATTAATCGTTACAGTGAAATGAAGATTATTCAGATTAGGAAATCTGTCACATCGATAACATAAAGATAGACATATAAGTGTATACTATAATAAATATTATTTGCTTCAATATTACACATTCTTTGTTTTAAAAATAAATTCTCTGCTTTAAAAACATAATTTTTGTGCTATAAAAATACAAATTCTTTGTTTTAAAAACCCTGCAAAGCGGAAATAGATTTTGAGCAAGGCTTGCTACCAATTCTTGATTGCAGAAAGGCAATTAACTGTACCCAAAGTTTGTATTATCTAACATTGTCAGCAAATTGTCAGAAATATGACAACCCTGGTAAAAAATTTTCTCTTTAATTTTTATCTCTTTAATTTACGAATTGGAACATTTTTTAGAAATACTCAGAAATATTCAAAAAGTTTACATCTTCTCTCAGAATTTTTTATGACAAGTGAATTTTTTAGATTTTATAATATTTCATTAGAAATTATTTACAAAAAATATTAGAA